CACCTAAACATTAGGAAGATCTTCCTGGCAGTTCTTCTTTGGCAGTGGAATGTGCTGTCTCAGAGCATGGTGGAGTGTCTCCTTCCCTGGAGGTTTTTAAGCAGATGCTGAATGGCCATCTGTCGAGGTTTTATTTATTTATTTATTTATTTATTTATTTATTTATTTGTGTCAGGAGCTGTTGGAACTTTGGATTAAATGTAATGAAATATTGTTTGTAGTTTGAACTGTGTGTGGTGTAGCAATGCAATACAGTGTAAGAGTTAATGCATAGAGATGTACTTGATTCCTAGAGCATAACTTTTGAGTGTTCCGGCGTATGTTTACATTCCAGAGAATCAGATAAGCATGTGCCCACCTCCAACGATGTACAGCTAAGAGAACAGTGTATTATCTTGTATTATAGTGTAAATGGCAATAAAAGTTAAGAGCTGCTCCAGGCTTTGGAGCTGACTGAAGTAGCACACTTCACTATTTACTTTTGTGCCTTTGAGCAGACGCGCAGAGGTCAATAGATCAACAGGAGCGACTTGAGAAACTGCAAGTCGCTTCTGGTGTGAGAAAATTGGTCACCTGCAAGGGCACTGCCCATGGAACACCCAGATATTTTGCCATCCTGTGGGAGGCTTCTCTCATGTCCCCACATTAGAAGCTGGAGCTGACAGGCGGGAGCTCACCCCACTTCCCGGATTCGAACCACCAACCTTTCGGTCATCAGTCCTGCCAGCACAAGGGTTTAACCCATTGCGCCACTGGGGGCTCCATCTGTCGGGGGTTGTTGTTGTTTATTCATTTAGTCACTTCCGACTCTTTGTGACCTCATGGACCAGTCCACGCCAGAGCTCCCTGTTGGCCATCGCCACCCCCAGCTCTTTCAAGGTCAAGGTAGTCACTTCAAGAATACCATCCATCCATCTTGTCCTTGGTCGGCCCCTCTTCCTTTTTCCTTCAATTTTTCCCATTTTCTTTTCCATTTTCTGTCGGGGGTGCTTTAATTGTTTTCCTGCATGGTAGGGGGTTGGACTGGATGGCCCTTGTAATCTCTTCCAACTCTATGATTCTATGAAATGTCAGTAGCTGGTGAATTAGGAGAGGAACATTGGGGCATGTCCTGCTTATGGGCTTTTCAGACATACCTGATAGGGCAACAGGATGGATGACAATAGGTCTCTAGCTTCATCGCTTCTCGGTTAAGAGCTGTGGAACTAAGAGACTTGCATTATCAGTCTACTGTACCCTTGGCAAGGGCATCCAGAGATGACATTATCTGCCATCTACAATAAAGGACACAGGTAACACCTATTTGACAAATTCTTCCCATTGTAAAGAACACTGAAAAATTCAAAGCACATTACTAGTTGGAGGTTCTCAGCAGGGCACCTAGGGTTAGCCGAATATTAGTCCCCGCTTCAGAAAAAATAAGCAAGCTCAACGCACATGCCCATCTTTTATTGCTTTATGTTGGCTGCCTTCTTTGCTTTGCCTGAATCTAATTTCCTGACAGTCGTCCAAATACTACAACTCGAGAGTTGGTACACCCCCAATTTACATTTTGCTGTATGTTTCAGCCTATCCAAGATGAGCTACTGCTGACCCACTTTGCCAAGTGAATGGCTGCCCATCCTTTTCCCTGGTTCCAGCTTGTCTGGAAATACAGAACTAGCTCCACTTACTCTGAGATTCTGGGTATTTATGAAACAACCTTTTTCTCCTTCTCCATGTTTTCTTTTAATTCTTCCAATGGATTAGCAAGAGACTGGGACTGTGGATAGTGGCAGATCGCATGCTTTCCACCTAGAAGATTCTAGGTTCTGACTCTACGTAACAAAGGGAAAGGCTCATCTTAAATCCCAAGGATGTTTCACTAGTCAGCAGAGCAAATAAAACAAGAGTACCACAGATCCGTGATATGACTCAATAAAAAACAGCTTTGTATGCACTCATGTACTCAAGGAGAATGTTGGTCTTCTTCTCTTTCAGCTTCTTCCAGCCCTTAAAATTCCAGATCATGTACTAGTGGCAGTCTGTCAGTGGCATTTAAAAAAAATCAAGTCCCCAAAATGGCAGTTCTGGTAGTTGTTGCTAGAAATAAATGGAATTTTTCCCCAAATAACAAGGAAATCTAGCCTATTAAAACATATTCTCAAATATGAACTGCAACATCTACAAAGCATGAATGTGGTTTCTCCCCACGCAGAACTCAGGTCCAGCTTTGCAGACGTATTCACACTTTGATGTAATTCATTACTGTAATTCTGACTATAATTTACATCAGGATGCAGATAGCAGGGCTGCAATTGCAGGTGTCAAACCACGGTCTATAGTTTTGCAGAAGTTCTTTCAAAACCACCCAGTTGCACATAATTTCCAGGAACCGAGGACTGGCAGCTGTAAGTGTACATACTGACCATTTCTGTACTGAACACAGTGTACTTTGATAGGCAGTAACTACATCCTATTAGCAAGAAGAGTGGAGAGGATGGGTTGGGAAGTAGGGTTGAAAAATTCGACTTTCCACAGAACCTTCAAAAGTTATTCAGTGTTTCCTTCTCTCAGCACTACCAATTAGAACAAGTAGAACAGAACAAGTAAGAACATTTACATCAATCTGTTGGCAACATGGAGCGTTTACAGTAGATTCTTCAGACTGGCTGCCAGTCCATTTTCAAGCACAATTCAAAGTACTGGTCTTGACCTATAAAGCTCTGTATGATTCTGGCTCAGCTTACTTGTTCGAACAGATCTCCCTCTATGATCCATCTTGGAGTTTATGGCTGTCAGGAGAGACCCTGCTCTCGATCCTGCTATCCTCACAAGCACGGTTGGTGGGGACCTGACACAGGGCCTTCTCGGTGGTGGCCCGTCTATGGAACACACTCCCCAGTGAAATCAGGGCAACTCCCTCTCTTCTCCTTTAGAAAAAAGCTTAAATCTTGGATTTGGGACCAAGCATTCGGCCAACTGACTGAGCAGTAACTGCAGACACTTATGAGAACTGTCAATGAATAGACCTTGGAACTCTGGGTTACAATTTGGATTTGGGGACTAAGTATTAAGTTTTAATACTTAATGATCAATATTTTAATGTATTTTTATAATCTTGTTGGTTTACTTAATGTTAATTGTTTGTACTGTGATTGTTTGTTGTTCAGTAGCTTTTTGTTTAGCTATTAATTTCTCGTGAATTGCTTTCCTGAGATCTTTGCACAGACTGAGCTGCCTTTCAGTTTCAACTCATCTTCAATTTGAATTTGACATTTTGTGGTGGGGTAGGAGAGGAATAAACAAACATCAAGTTCTGCTAAACATGTTTAAAAAGTAGCAAACTTTCAAACTATCCTCAAAACAAGTATACCACCACCCTTCAATACTGTAGAAAACATATTCCCGAGAGACTGGAGGTCAGTGGCAAGTATTGCAAAGGAACTAGACTTACTAGCCCTCAGTATTCAAAGAAATAAGGTTCAATTCTCAAATTAATTGATAAAATCAGAAATCACATCAAAATTATGCTGTTTTCTTACTTTTTGAGCCCCTTAGAAATGCTGCTGTCTTAATATAGCTGGAAATTAATTTTTGGAAAAGGGTGCAAGTTTATGAAACAATCCAACCATGTAAAAGTATTCGCAAGGAATAAACTCTCTCTGTAGGTTTTTAAGCAGAGAATAGAGGGTCATCTGCCAGGAGTGCTTTGATTGTGTGTTCCTGCATAGCAAAAGAGGATTAGACTGGCTACACAGCACACACACCCCTCCCAAATTATTGGTGTCTAGGGTTTTTAGGCCTCTTCCTGGGGTAATTTGGAGTGCTGATTCAGAAAATTGCATTGGCTAGACCGTATCTGCTCTAGCTTCTTAGATATGGTCAGCATGATTCTTTATGAGTGAGCTGATGAAGACTAGTTGAGTCTCGCTTATCCAACCTTGGCTCATCCAATATTCAGTATTATCCAACGCAGTCTGCCTCCTGTCCGGATCCACAGCTGTTTCAATACATTGTGATGTTTTGGTGCGTAATTCATAAATACAGTCATTACTACATAATGTAACCATGTATTGAACTGCTTTTTCTCTTGATTTGTTGTAAAACATGATATTTTGGTGCTTAATATGTAAAATCATAACGTAATTTGACATTGAATAGGCTTTTCCATAATCCTTATTATCCAACATTTTCACTTATCCAATGTTCTGCCAGCCCATTTATGCTGGATAAGCGAGACTCTACTATATATGGCATATTTTCTGTATCTCAAAAAACTAGAGTTAATAGTGAAAAACTGGTGCCATTTTTGGAATCAGCAGGTCAAGTATACCCAGAAGCAGATCTAACATTTGAGGCATCAAAATGTATGTGGGCTACTGCTATAGCCACACATTATTTTTATTAAATTTTTGGGATTTGGTTGTAGCCAAGCGTCTTTTGAGAAGCAGAATAGACAGCATTGTGGATGTAATATCCCCTCCCTCCCTGCTACCCTCTATACTTCACTGGAACCTGCTCTGGACAGTTAGGGTGCCCTCCGGATACAGAAGGCCTGAAGGGGGAAAATTCTTCTTTCATGAGCTGAAATCTAACACTGGGTTTAGTTTACTGTTTACCCTACATTCCAGACCATGGCAAGACCATGTGCATTTCTATTAGTAGCACAAAAGGCAGAGGACCACAATGATAAGTGCCATGTGTCCGTGAATACTTCAGACTTGTGTTTCCCACAAGAAAAAGCACTCTAATCACAAGTCTTAACTTTTTAAAGTCAAACAGTTAAAAAACCAAACTTGAAATGCCATGTATATTCACAGCATTATATAAGCCACTCAGCCAGTCAATCAATCAAATGGCAGAGGAGCGTGCTGTTCAAACAAAAAAAGGTAACACGTCATCAGCCCATGCCATGGATCCCAATAAAGTTTTTGATGTGAGAAGAAACAAGGAATAGAAAACTGCATCATGTTGAGTGATGTCTGACATCATGGCCCTCAAATCACGACCAAATGCGCTACAGTATTCTTCTTTTATTTAGTTTACAGAAGAATCTATCAGTACAGGTTGCAGAAAGAAAATGTTTAGTGCTATTTACAATTTGTTTTAAAACTCTGCTCTATACAAATTTAATTTTGATCATTATGAACAATATCTTTGTAGACCTACTGCATATAAAGCATTTTGTCAAAGCAATAACATTGAATAAAATAACCTGATTACATTTAAATGAAGTTGATCATTCAAAAAACACATGTTTGTAAGGGCCGTGGACTCAAGTACAGAACACAATGTCAACCTGCATTCTTTAAAGCCTAGAGCTATTTATATGGATTATTGTCATATTATTCTACACGCCAATCTATATTTAAGTTCTATAATCATGTTTTTATAAGATTTTTATTAAATATATTCTACAGATTTGTAATTTCAACTAGGAAGAATTTCTCCCTAGTGGAAAATATATATAAAATCTTTTATATTTTTTACAGGTTTAGATGAAACCAACTCATGCTTTAGTGCTGTGCAATTTTTTAGCATATCAGTTCTTAAAATTCTATGAAATAAAAGAATGGCATCCTTTGTAACTATGTATGCTTTGTTTTTGTTTTTGTTTTTTAAAAAAACAGCTTTTGACTCCCAATACAATTGCAAGCACTAATACCAAATGCAGATAACATAAACAAACAAAAAGTCAGCATATGGCAGAGGTTTTTCTACTTTTTTCCTCCTTTTTTTCATTTCGTCATTTTCTTTGAAGTCACTAATGAGTAAGCATGACTCTGGATACTAAAGTACAGATGGAATAAGAATGATTGAAAAACATCAACTGTTGATATTAAAGACATAAAATTGATTAGTAAATGAGGTCTTCTAATATTTATGCACATTAATAAAAGCCTATGAACTACAGGAAATTACCCCTCCCATATTAAGGCTAGGAAATGCACTCTCTGCACTTATTTGTGCTGTCTGAACAAGCACTCAACTAATGTACAAGAGAAGAGTGCATATCAATGAAAAAAAATCAGTTACAACAGCCCTCTACAGAGTGCTTTAAAATTACAGGCACATTGTTTGTTGCAGTGAAAATATATATATTTATATATGTCTATAGTCAGACAATTTTAGTTAGTATTTGTGCCAGTTTGGCCATCAAGGCTGACTTAGGTAGAATTATTTTAGTAGTTATTTTTCTGCGTTTCAGTTGGCCATCACTGAATTCAAGAAAACAAGACTGCTGATAGTATTTTCCAGTGCTGATTCATTTTCTCTGTGTTTCAAATTCTTAAGAACTTTTGTAGATGAGGTCTATGTCTTGCCAACCATTTTTAGTGCAAATTGCATCTAGAAATCTTGACTGGTTAAAGTTCAGATTAAGAATGATTTTATGGCAGCAAAATGATTCCTGTTGAAGAGAATAGTTAACTTTTTCTTAGAGACAGAATGCATTGAAGTGATGTATTAATAAGCTTGTTCAACAACCTAAAAAGTAAAAAGGTAAAAAAAAGTGTTCATTGTTCTAGGAAAAAAATGTGACAGCGTTCATGTAATATTTCAGTTCAATGGATTCACAGGTAGACTGTTCCTAATGATGTTCGAAGCAATGTTGGTCTCCTCTAGTCCAGCGGCATGAAAGACAAAAACTATTCTACATCACAAGTAGCAGATACAGCAGAGCATTTACAGGATCACACAGCAATTGCTCTCTCCAGTTTTTTCACGATTTCTCTGACCTACAGAACAACAGACAAATTGAAGACAATTAAAGCAAAATGATGTCTCTACAAGAAACAAAACAATCCTAAATATTGGGAAAACCAGAAATTTCCAGGCGCTTTTGCAAGTGTGACCCCTTTGGAGATTAACTAGCATTCACACTATCTGGAATAATCATAATCTTTTGTAAAGATCATAACTGTTTGTAAAGTAGGGTTTTCCTGAGAAGAGTTAAAAACTCGCTTAAGTGAATCTTCTCCTTGGTGGTAAATATCCACTAGTATTCATGCAAGGCGATTTAGGTTTCTCAGATGTTAGACTGAAATCCCTGTTATCTCTTGAACTGTTAAGAACAAAGATATGCCCATGCATAAAATATACAGCAGATCTTCAGAAGTGTTATTTTAGTTGCCCAAAAATATATCACCTACTCTCCCATAAAATATATTGTTTTCAAATCATTCTCTCAAGAGACCAAAAAAATAAGTAGTCTTCGTTAAAAGTTAACATTTACTCACAAACTTCATGTATTTAGCTTAAAGGAACATTGCTTATTGGTTTCATGTTAACTGAATTATACTTAAAACTGTATTATACTGTACTATATTTCAACTGACTGTACTATACTGTACTACACAGCTGCTGCAAACAGACTCGTATACTAACGGTACATCTCACTGCAGCATACTGACTATACTCCTAACCAACATCAACTGACTTCACTCACTTCTAATTCAAACTGACTCAAACTTCAACTGACTTCTAACTGACTTCACTGACTCAAACACATTCTAAAATGGAGTCTCACTCTAAATATTCTAAGATCTGGATCACATGGTCTGTAGTCCCTCCCACAACCTCTAACAACATAGAGTTAAGGAAAAATACACACCAATACATGCATACAATATAGTAAGCAATCTCGATTATATGCATAACAAATAACTAGTATAGGAGGCTTGCAGAAGGTTGCTATTTCCAACACTAAATAACACTCTAAGTTCTTGTAATATAACTGTAAATGGCAAGTTGTTACATAAAGGCAACCAAACCATGGCATCTTTGACTGTGCAACCATTAGTCCCAATCCAGAATTTCCTTACTGTATCTTACCTTGGGAGTTTGGCTCTGGCAACGTCTCTCTAGCCACCAAATGCATCACTGTGGTCTTGCCAAAAGGAAGTTTTAATGCTATGTTAAAAGAAAAGAATGGTTTGTTAAATACTTCTCATGAGCCGCACAAAGCTGAAAGCCAGAACTCTGCTTGAATATGATTCTTTTCAGAGACTGTCTTTATACTACTCAAACAGATAGTAACTCATGTGTGCATAGAAATCACATTATATAGTTCAGTACAACTGAAGATAAAAAATGACAATTTGCCAGCAAAATATCCACCCTGAAGCACAAACATTTAGAAACGGAAGAAGCTGAAATTACAGCCTCTGCCTAAGAGTTTATAGAAAAAGTATTATATAATACAATGGTTGAAAAGATATATTATACTGAACATATTATATTTGGTCAAAAGGAGTTCCTGCAGACACAATTCACAAATGCCTGCTCAAAACTGAATATATGATTTCTTAAGTGAAATAGTAAATAATTTACATAAAAACATTATATTGCAGAATCTTGCTTTCTTCTATTATTTGTGCAGACAGTCTATACTTCCCATTTATTTCTCTTTTCATGTAAAAACAATTTAAATCATTTCACACAAAAGCTCAAGAAATACCGCTTCTTTGATTGAATAATATTTTATTATTTGCCAAAAAAAGGCACAAAAATACAAAAAGTTGCAAAATCACCTTATTAAATGACAAGAACTAAGTATTTATTTATTTATTTATTTACTTATTTCATTTCTATCCCGCTCTTCTCACCCCTCAGGGTGATATTGGTATATCTTATATGCAATGCTTTTCTGTACAGCTAGGAGTTTGTTATTCACCACAGTGCTTTTAAGAAGGATGTGTCTGAGAGCCAATTCAGAATATGACAGGGATCATCTTGCGTGTAAAAATGATCCAGAGAAGGATTTTGTATCTTTAGAACTTCAACAAACTTAGCCCACCACCCAGCAACTTGTGATAGCACTGCCATTTCTATTTTCTTGAACTTGTCCCTGTGTTGCACAAGAACATGGTACAGGGAGCTGAGACATTTTTCCTTTCAGTCTTCATGGCACTTCTCTTTTATTCTCTCTGCCTATCTTAACCTATCTTCTACTTCAGTATAAGTGCTATTCTGCTCAGCTATACTATCATCTGGGAGAGGTCTATATAATTTAATTAATTCTGCCTCATCTGACACATTGCATAAGAGTCTATGCAACAATAGATGCTGTACACAAAACTGTTGAAAGAAAAGATTCTGTACAATTTCTGCCTCCAGTCTCTGCCAGGATTATAAGTTATCATTCTGGGAAAGATATGAAGGAACCACAAGAATTGGGGCCACCACAACCTCCATCAGATTAGAGGAGAAGGAGGAAAGTGAAGCAGGATTTCTCCACTGTTCCACCTGGTCATTTAGAATTATTAATTCAAACTGAGCATCTTGAGAGATCATTTGTTTCATTCTTTTGGCTCAAATAATTTTTTTGTTTGTGTTATGCCTTTCTGATTATAGATCTGAAGACATGGACTGCTATAATAGTGACCTTCCTTTTCTGTCCAGAGAAGCTGGGTAAAAAGCCTTCAAATAAATAAATGAATACAATTAAAGCACTTTGTGCTTGCTATAACTAGACAACAGAGCCACCCACATTAAATGAACTGGTGTTACACACTGAATAATAGAATCACAGAGTTGGAAGAGACAACAAGGGTCATCCAGTTCAATCAATATGGGTTGGTGGGAGAAGAAATGGAGACTGAAAAGACAAGCATACAGCTCACACCACCAGGTTTGGATAGCTCTGTAAATTCTGAAGAGAAATCCATGTATCAAATGGGCCCTCAACTACCCACAGGACCTGGTTCCAAGACCCCATGTGGACAACAAATACCACAGATGATCTAGTCAACGGTGGTCCACGCTCTCGTTACATCCAGGATAGACTACTGTAACGCACTCTACGTGGAGTTGCCTTTGAAGACTGTTCGGAAGCTTCAAATAGTCCAACGAGAGGTAGTCAGGTTAATAACTGGGGTAGCATATAGGGAGCACACAACTCCCATGTTACGTCAGCTCCACTGGCTGCCTGTTTGCTACTGGGCACAATTTAAAGTGCTGGCTTTGGCCTATAAAGCCCTAAATGGGCCCGGCCCAGTTTACCTCTCCCTTTACAAACCACCATGAAGACTAAGATCTTCTGGGGAGGCCCTGCTCTCGGTCCTGCCACCATCACAGGCATGTTTGGCGGGGACGAGAGACAGGACCTTCTCAGTGATTGCCCTCTGGCTATGGAACTCCCTTCCTAACAATATTAGATCAGCTCCCTCCCTCCTGTCCTTCAGAAGGATGGTGAAGACCTGGCTGTGGGACCAATCCTTTGAGGCAGTGTAATGAGGCAATAATAGAACTGTGTCCTGGGATGGTTTTTAAGCAACTGATTTTAAAGTGGATATAAGTGATTTTAATGTTTGTGTATATTTATGGTTTTAACTCCTGGCATTGAATGTTTGCCATATATATATGTTGTGCTCCACCATGAGCCCCCTGCAGGATGAGAATATACATGTGTCAAATAATAGTCCCAATAAATGATGTGGTGTGAGGCACCAGAGGAGATGGTGGCAAGTGCTGGCAGGTATGCATGCCCTCCCGCCTCCGAGGAGTCACAGACATTTGTCTTCAATTAGGCAATGAAAAAGCAGCAGCACCACAACAACTGCCAGTTGCCATGCCATTGTGGAAGTTGCTCAAAGACAGAAGAGGGTATCTTACAGGCACATTGGAGGCGATGGAAAATGCATGCTTCACAGCCAAGGCTTGCCATGCCTCCACTGCTGCCTACCTGGCTGTATTGCATATGCATAGTGAGTTTTGATCTGGAGCTGAACCTGCCTATTGTGATGGAATTAGAGAATTATGGATGAAGGCGGCTTGGGTTCCTCTCTTCTCCCTTTGTACATAAGGGTGCTCACTTTATTAGATCTCCTATATCAGTGGTTCTCAACCTGTGGGTTCCCCAGATGTTTTGGCCTTCAACTCCCAGAAATCCTAACAGTTGGCAAACTGGTTGGGGTTTCTGGAAGTTGTAGGCCAAAATACCTGAGGACCCACAGGTTGAGAACCACTGTCCTATATTTCCCCCCAAATATTTTAAATCCTTGGATCTGCAACTCACTGATACAGCAAGTCCAGTGTACAAAAAAACTTCGTTGATATACAAACAAAAAAATAATGTATATTTAATTAACCAGCCTTGAATTCAATTCTGGAAGAAACACAGGGTATAAATCCAATGAATGAATAAGTTATTTGAGAGGTAATTAACACCAGTATGAAGACTATCGTGCAGAACATTATGAACTGCCAGTGTAAGAGGGAAAGGAATAGAAATGTGCATCACACTGCTGTTAGAGGAAAAAATAGAACATACATAGAAATGCAGACCACAAGAGGGCACAATTGAATAGCTTTTCTACTCTCTTGGCAGACTATTTAATCCTAAGGTGATTTGTGCCCTGAAGATTATGCTAAATGCAGAAAAACCAGCTTGGTTTTATTCCCCTTCTGTATCTCCCCACTCACAATGGGATTTACGACTCTGTTATACCATTCCTATAATATTCAGAACATAGATACAACAATGGTATGCACATAAATATAGATGCAAAAATGAAGCACATGAGAACTCACAATAATTACATTTTTCTCCAAGAATTATGTACAGTATATTACAATTGATATTGCAGTTTGCCATTTTGGCAATTACTATTGTAAGGAAACTTGCTGAATAAATGTAAATGTGACATGCCAGAGACGGCTGTGGATAAAATCCCAATTTTTAAAATATTAACATTTATGTTCATTAAACGTGATTGCAACATAGAACTTTATTTATGTGTGAAGAAGTATATCACTGAAACTTTAATTAAAATATTATATAGATCAAATATAAAACTGAGAATATTCAAGTTCTGCTAATTTCAACAAGAGCATTTTTGAAATCTCCCAAGTAATATCAAGACCTAGAGTATTTTGACTCTTGATTAAGCCCAGTATGCTTCTAAAAGGAAATGATAGTAGCATCAATATTTTATTACTTTATTTTATTGATCAACCTAACATTACCCACAGAACCAGAGTATATGTAACTCTATTTTTTATTACCTCCTAGTGTTACATTGCCATGAAGAAACCGTCCTTGATAAATAAGTCTCAGAATATTTGGACTACTCACTTGCTCTTCTTCCCAGTCTGTAAACAAAACAGTGAAAAGATTGTCAGGGCAATTAACAAATGTTAAAAAAAAATACTTGCTCAAGGTCACCCAGTGGTGGCTTAACGGGAATTCAAACTTGGTATCAGTCATAGCCCAGCATTCAAACCAATACACACACTGACTTTATTTACATATGTTTATTAATATGTAGTATTATATGTAATATTATTTATAAAATAAGGTTCAACAACACATTCAACTCCATAAGATAATGAACTCAGCAAGAAAAATCCTTAAGACAAACCTCTCTCTTGCCATGCAAATAAAACAATGCTTCTCTCATGCTGGGTAACTACAGATCTAAAAAAGGTCCTTATCTAAAATTAGTATAAAGTATTGTCAAGAAATATGTTTTGTCTATCTGTTCAGAATATTTGCTTAAACAACCATCTAATCTCTGGAATCATTTTTCAGTTGGTTCCTCGGGGTTCCTGGAACACTCAGCCTGATTGATCAGTACTCCTTGCTTACAGCAATTCAAATAGTCAATATCAGATGCCCCTGTTGATGGAAGTGCAGTCTGCGATGAAAGATATGAAGGATCGCAAACTGCTGTGTAAGCATCATAGAAGAAAATAACATTTAAGCACACATCACAAGTATAAGACTTAATAATGGGTTGATGAGCAGGTGAGCAGATATATTCTTGGTAGTACTAAAGATATATGTCAACATACAGCAAGGTGCTAGCCTCAGAGTTATAAAGATTTTTTTTGTTGTAACAGTTGTGACTGTTATATGATTGTATATACATTGCAGTCTGAAGAACCATATGTAAATCCTTAAACTGTAAATACAAATGTAATTTGCAGTATACAATATTGATTCATTTCATGTGTGTTAAAAAAACACCTGGTGACTGAAACCTATCATATCTTTCCAGTCTTATTAGAATAAATGATGACTGTAGACCTTATCACACTAGAGAAAAAATCCACTTAAAATCCGCTTTCTACCTCCTGCAGAATTCTAGCGTTTGTAGTTTAGGGAGGAGCCTTTAACAGACTCACTAAACTAAAACTCCAGAATCCTGCAGGAGGCAGAAACCGGATTTTAAGTGGATTTTTTTCTCTAGTGTGATGAAGTGGTGAGTTTTCATATGGAAAAGGTAGTAGCTAAAAAAATCAATGTGATTCTGTGCATGAACCTTTATGAAACCCTCAGAGAAGTAAAAATACCCTTCTAAGCATTATAGTGAAATGGCTTCATGCAGACAGACTATCTTCAAAATGGGAAGGAATCTCCATGCATTCATCATGTCCTGTCTGCAACAGGAGCAAAGGCTAGGAATTGCAAGCACTGTCATTTTTCCCCCTTATGACATGGAAAAGCCTGCCATACTCAGCACTTTTCTTGCAGAAGCTGGTGTAAGGGAAATGAAATGAGCACATTGGGAATTTCTAATTTAATGGACAGAGAATTATTTACATTCTCACGTATTAATGGAAAGTCATACAATTACATCCTTGCACTTTCCTTCACTTAATACAGAATGACGAAGGATTGAGTCTACAAAAGTTTTGTGTGAACTAACACAAGATTATTTAAGATACCACAAGATTCTTTATTATAAATACAGGCTGTTGCAGGACACAACAAAATCCATTCCTTAAGGTCAGGAATAGGTCATACTATTATGTGAACCTCTCTCCCTTCAATGCTGAACTGTAGCTGGTGATTTTGAAACCAGATTAAGTTCAGGAGCCTGATTAACATAAATCAGTCAGCTTCTGACCTGGGTTTAAGCATTGCATTAGATTACCTAAACTAGGAGAATGCAATACTGCCACTTCTCTAGCATCTCTCATCAGTCTGAATACCTAGAATAAGAACTGTAGGCAATATATGCTAGTGGTTATTTGGATGAGCTGTTCCAGAAAGTGATGATTTGTGGTTAAAGCAGGTGGGGCAGTAATTCTCACTTCAGTATGTGAGGCTCTGCATTTTCCAAAGCACTATTCTGTCTATTAAGTCATTTAGGATCTTAATGGAATTAATAAGCAATGCTTTATAGGGATCTGTAGATCCCGTCCAGTTAGCACTTACTTCTCTCCTATATCTAAGATGAGACAAACATAACTAAGTGCTTGAATACAGTATCATGCCAAACAAACTGAATGATACTAATCACAATACCATAGTATTTGACATATTGTGGCCCTTCCCACTGCCTGCAAGACAGACAGACAGCAAGAACATTACAATGAGGGAGAAGCTGAAAAGGAAAGCCTGTGGGACACCGCTTCATGGTACAGGAAATGAAGGCCTGCAGGATGAAATATGGATATAGGGACGTACAAGTAGATTTGAGGAGAAACAAAGGAGGAATAATGGGGATTTTTTTTTACTTTAGACTGTTTTTCACATGCTCCTGCCAACTCTCCTTTTCATTTTCAGGACCCTTAAACTCCCTTTTGGCAGCATCGCAACTTCACTTAAACTCCAAATAAAAATTAACTATCTTATTCTTCATCTTGTTTGTCATGCTTCAGTCTTGCAAATATTTGTTTACACATTGGGCCACTCTGCAGTTATGTTACTATTTCATTCAGGACTCAACACATATTGTAGTGATAGTGGAGAGGGGTTTTGATCATTATGGCTACAAATCATGCTTATTTTTCATATAATGTAGGAGTCACGGTACTATTCCATTATCCGGCGGACTCCAAACGGGGGCCTAGACACAAAAGGATAGTCCGTTTTATAGAGAAGAGGTGGGGTTGAAGGAGTAAAACCATAACCCCCCCCCCCTTTCCTGTTACTCCCCTACCCATGTCGCAGTTATCGAAACAACCCTTGTTTATGTAATGGGGGAGGGGGCATAACCAGAAAAAACCGGGAAAATGGTTTTGTTCCTTCAGCCTTCCCCCCTCTGTCTAGGCCCCTTTGTGGATTCCACCTGGATAATGGAACAGTACCAGAGTCTCTTTAGGAGTTGTCAGTTGGGCTGACATTTTAAAAAATTATTAGATTTGTTTGGAAGTTGGAGTACTGGAGTCAGCCTATTCACTTTCCTATCCCTCTTTGGCACTAAGAAATTCAGTTTTCTGCACTACCATATATATATTCTTTTTTTAAAGTCACTCTTTTTTCCAGTGACTGGGTGAGAAATGGAGCTTTCAAAAAATTAATGCAGTTCTTTCCTTCTCAATGAAGTGAAAAACATGGATGAGAAGGAAACAACTGTAAAAATTCAAAGATAGGATTTTCAACCGTTGTTCTAGTAAAGATTTAAACACTGTATTTTCTGGCATATAAGACGACCCCCAACTTTTCCAGTTAAAATATACAGTTTGGCATATACTCGCCGTATAAGACTACCCCTCTTCCTACGCACACCAAATAAAAATTTAAAAACCATCTGATTTGATTTCAATATGGTAATTTTCCTATTGCTGTACCTCCTTCTCTGTCTCTCAGATCTCGCACATGCGCACTTGCACCGCTTCACTGCAGTCTTCAGGAGCGAGACCTGAGAGGCAGAGGAGGAGGTACGGTAATAGGATACAAGGGCGGGCCAGTCAGGTAAAAGAGGTATGTTTTTCTGGGCCCAGAGCCACTATCTCTTTTTTCCATACCCTGGGCGCCCCAGACACCTGCAGCTTGCTCCGCCCTTCACTTACATCTTCCCGGTGAGGCACCCCTTCACCTCACCATCGGGACCGCATTAAGTCCACAAATCCTGATGAATGGATTTTCTTCTACCGTACTTGTACAGCGTCGCCCTCAATGCTTTCATACAGTTGCTGCATACGGCAGGGACGCGGCCACTGCCATTTTAGAGCTCCCCCCACCATATGCGGCAACCACAGATTCTTCAATCCGGATTGGAAGTTTCAGCACCCGCTCTATAAGACGACTCCCAGCATATAAGACTGCTCCCACGTATAAGGTGACCCCTGACTTTTGAGAAGGTTTTCTTGGGTTAAAAAGTAGTCTTATACGCCAGAAAATACGATATATAATGTCGTGCAACTCAGAATATTTATGTGTAATAAACATTTCCTTTTCAACATAAATACCATTGACAAAATACAATTCTAGGTTGAATTGGTGCTAATGCAATAGCACTTTTTCATCAGTAGTCTTATCCTATTTTGACAACCCACCAATATGGTACACCAGAAAAAATAAATGTAGAGGGGAAGAACTATTTGAGATGAAAACAATAAAAGCACAAGGAGGGTCAATAATAAGCATTTTGTAGTTCAACATTGTAAAGGGTTTTTTTTTGTTGTTGTTGTTGTTTTTTGGGGTTTTTTGCATTTATGAGGAAAGATATTCTGTTTCCATCCCATGCAACAGCTCCTGAAAACAGATGGAATAGCCCCTGGGCTGAGAATTGCAGTATATAAGCGAAGTAAGTAAGTAAGTAAGTAAGTAAATAAATAAATAACTTACCCATTGGCCAGTTATCATATACATGCTTCGCAATGTCTGCTGCCGAATCATTTGGTGAGAACAAGAACTCTTTTGTTTTTCCACTTACCAAAATGAGGCGCAAATTTATCTGTAAGAAAGAAGTAAACAGGAAAATACATCAAAGAAAGGAAAATGCATTGACAATTACAAAACTATAAGGTAAAGGTTTCCCCCGACAATATGTCTAGTAGTGTCCGACTCTGTATTTAGTATACTTATGCTAAAAGATTCACAACGTATACTTTATACGTATAGATAGCATTTTCATTATTTCAGGAAACTGGTGCAATGTAGAAAGGGTAATGCCTTATGCAACACTTTCATGAGCATGCTTCTCTCTCTCTCTCTCTCTCTCTCTCTCTCTCTCTCAAAGAAATTAATTCAAAATTATCTGGACTTACGAGAGACAACTAATTGAAAAGATTCTTGTGGAGTATTATATTACAATCCAGAAAATAACAATCCTTTAATTAAATCTGAGGTAATTAAGGCAATAGTTAATGCTCAAAAGAGCCATACAAAGGTTAATTATGCTGGGTGTTTCTGAAAATCATATCTAATCTAAAAGTTACAGGGAAAGTGTACTTATACTAATAGAATTAAAGTGCAATTGCTAAATAATGAACTTTTATGTATGTGTATGTGTGCCTTCAAGTTGCCTTTCAACTTATGGGGATCCCATGAATTTCATAATTCATAAGGTTTTCTTAAGCAAGGACTATTCATTCAGTGGTAGTTTTGCCAGTTCCTTCATCCTAAATATATCCCAAAACACCTGGCATTCATTAGTGGTTCTCCCATCCAAGTACTACCAGGTCTAATCATGTTTAGCTTCCAGGATCAGAATGGATATAAAGCCTTTGGAGTATTTAGGCCTTTAAGGAATTGTTACATCTCAGTCATTTTTCTTCTTTGGGCACACAATCCTATAAAAAGCTTAGAGGCAACTAGTGCTAGTTTACAAGTCAGTGGAACAGTAATTGCATTCCATTTTGGAGAAAATTTTAACACATTTCTCATCTCCTTAAACTTCAGACTAAAACTTGGGAGCAGACTCACTGGTGCACATAGACCCTTCCAACCTCACTGGATGTTAGCTAAACAAATGTTTCCTTATTCAGAAAAAACCTTTCAAGGATAGGAAAGCACTAAATATTCCTCTAGAGTGGTATAGTTATTAGACTATACCAAAATAGGTAGGAACAATGATACAGAAGATATGAGTTCAAGGTAACATTGATTGTGATCCTATAACAGCCCCTCCCCTCAAATCTACAGGCTAATTTATAATCCAGTGGTTTCCTAGAGGTTTTTGTGGGTTTTTAAAAGCAAAACTGGGTTGTTTATAGTCGTTTAATACTGATACCAAATACCAGATCCAGCTGTATGTATTCTCAGTCACTATCTCTTTCAAATGTGTCTAATATGCTTTTTAAATATGTGGTCTCCAGGTTGCACCCAAATGTACATGGGTGTTCAACTGGAAATAATAGTGTACAGAAATTACACACATTCAGATTCTGCATATGATTAATGCCCATGGTTCTTAACCCAACTATTTCACACATGCACAACATTTCCTTATATTGATCAGAGAATGCATGTGCTTTACATTTGAATACATTGAAATGCACTGGCCCCCTATTTTCTTCATTTCATGTACTCTTATATCAAATGTAAATCAACTGGATAAAACTTCTCCAAGCAGCAGAGCACCATGAGGCAAGAAAGTGAGGGCATATTATGGTTTCATCCCCTATGCACTCCATTTCATGATAAAAGCAGAATCCCTACCCATACATATAGCTAGTCTGGCCCAAAACATATTAAGAAATTTGATGTAAAGAAATATAAACCAGAGCTAGATCTAGTCAAACATCAGTTTATTGTCTATGTTCTCATTTTCTTTTACTGGAACATATTTGAAAGTATTGAGTTGTACAGTCTGCAAAAACATTATTAATAACATTTTTGAGGGGAAACCCATAAACACATCATTCCATCAGAAGCTCCCTATGCAAGAACTTCTGAAAATGATTCTTTGGGAACTAAAAATCCTGAGAGATGACAGTCAAATGTAGAGAATACTTTAAAGGATCATAATACTGAGAATCTATTTTTGGTTATACAATAAATATGCATAACCTAAGATATAAATAAAGTATTTAGCCCTTTATTAGGAGCAGCTGCTTCTCTGAATAGGGATATCATCAGTTTAAACACGTCAAGAATGTCATGCCATGACTCTGGGTATTTCAAAACCAAAATAAGAGATCCAATTTGATGTGCTCAACCTCTTGGTTACATTTAACAGACTATGATTGACTGAGAAATACCAGACTTTCACAAACCTTTCAAACATTAGGACAGCCTCAAAATTCATGTGTAATTAATACATTACAAAAAAGAATCTTAATTTTTATTATTTTATTTATTATGGCTGGCTTGAAGTTCTTCATGAACATATAAGAACTAGTACTTGTTCATTATAGCAATGCTACTTTATTTTTTGCCGCAGTACTTAGCACTATGTTCACCTAAAGTGCTGATTGATTGCTCACTAAGTTTGTTTTCTTAGAGGCAACTCTGAACATTACATTACAAGCCATGGTTGTAATCATAAGGATCGCTCAGCCTTCAGAATCTCCTAATATAATATCCAACATGGACAAGATTCCCTCCCTTAAATGAATTCTGAAGCATGCAATTATAAACGGAGATTCAGAGGTACAAGTGATTCTTGCACTACAACTTCCAGTTTAATTTTAGCTTTCATTTATGCCTACCCCACTGAGATGTAAATGAGGGGAGAGGATTTTTGCTGGAGGAAGAAAACAAGTGTGTGAAAAAAGAAAGTGTCAATGTGTGTGCTAACCACACTGCCTCTAATCTTCAGAATAATATCAGAGTTCTGGTGTACTTACTCTGTAGGAAGCAGGGAGGTCTGCTGCATTCCAGCACTCAGCACAAAAGTTTTATTTCAGGTAATCTCTGTCTCCCCAAAACTAACTTTTACATATCAATATTTAAGGACTCTCTGGCATTTAAGACAGATAAGAGAATCAGAGATTCTAACTACTTCATCACACTAGAGCAGGGGTCCTCAAACTTTTTAAACAGAGGGCCAGGTCACAGTCCCTCAAACTGTTGGAGGGCTAGATTATAATGTGAAAAAAATAATGAATGAATTCCTATGCACACTGCACATATCTTATTTGTAGTGCAAAAGACACTTAAAACAATACAATAATTATAATGAAGAACAATTTTAACAGATATAAACTTATTAGTATTTCAATGGGAAGTGTGGGCCTACTTTTGGTTGATGAGATATGATTGTTGTTGTTGTTGTTGTTGTGTGCTTTCAAGTTGTTTCAGACTTAGGTTGACCCTGAGCGAGGGCGGGGTAAATGACCTTGGAGGGCCACATTCGCCCCCCGGGCCTTAGTTTGGGGACCCCTGCACTAGAGAATGAATCCACTTTAAATCCGGTTTCTGCCTCCTGCAGAATTCTGGGGTTTGTAGTTTAGTGAGGCTGTTAAACAGCCCTCCCTAAACTACAAACCCCAGAATTCTGCAGGAGGAAGTATATGGATTTCAAGTGGTTTCATTCTCTAGTGTGATGAGGTCCCTAGTATAAGCTTCCTCTTTGCCTGCAGCCTTGTAGGATCCTCATAGGAATATTTAAAGTTAAAATGAAATTGGAAAGTGCAATGACCCAGGACTGTTTACTATGTCTTTGTCTGATATGTGATATGTGATTTTATGTGCTGTGTTTAATGTTTTATCAGGGGATGTTCCATTTCGATGTTTTATACTGTATTTTATCAATGGCATTGAATTATTGCCAACATTGTGAACCGCCTGAGTCCCCTTCAGGGTTGAGAAGGGCAGTATATAAATACCACAGCTGCTAATCTTTAACAAAATCCTCTAGTTGCTCTCCTCTTGAGAATATAGTTATTTCATCCATTATCAGCAAATCAATGAAGTATTTTTCCCATTCTTCTATATCAGGTAAGTCTGGGCTTTTCCAATATCTGGCATATACTAATTGTGCTGCCACTGTCATATAAAATAAAAATTTACCAAATTTCTTTTCGAATTCTTCATCTGGCATGTTGAAAAGATACATCAGTGGTGTCATTACAAAGTTCGTATTTAGCAGATTATAATATCATTATAAAGGATAAAGAAAATAAGGGATAACACCATCAGATAGAAAAGTACAAATTTTGTACTTTTTAAATAGATGTTTAGTTGTACTGTGCAGTTTGCAGTTGTTTCATTTTTGTATCTAAAATGCCTCTTGGTGTGTTTTATTTCATCTCTTATTTGAATAAAATTTATTTTTTAAAAAGAAACAAAATATTTTTAAGTCACCAGAAATGTTGACTTTTTTGTTGCTTTGTAATGCTGTCTTATTGCCATTGCAGGAAGGGGATAATCACTGATGAATTTGGACATTCCAATTTTAGAACAGTGACTAGTTCCGACGATAATCTATACTGCAAATCAGAGGTCCAAATTTGATGTCATAACCTATAAGTCAGGAATTTAATTTAATTTATACACACAATAGTATTTGCATTGCAAGTTGTTTTGTTGTTATACAAGCCATTGTATAGATGTTTACTCTTCAGTAGTAAAGATCTTTTAGCATGGGCAGCAGGCTTTCCCTCAATTCTTTGATCCGCTCTACCATTCCAAGAATAGGTTTGTTTGAGGAGAATCCTTCAAAAATACAGTTTAGATTGTACTAAACAGAAATAGGTCAAGGAATGTTGTTCACAAAGAAACAGGGAGCATGCTAGAGTAAGGTTCACTAAGAAATAGCCAACTCATGATTCAGTATTTACCTGAAAACAGAACCTATAAGAGCAACTAGAAACAGAAATATGAATAGCTAATAATAATAATAATAATAATAATAATAATAATAATAATAAATCATGATCCAGTGCCACATGCCTTTTAAAGCACCAATAACACCATTCTATTTGTATGTATAACATCAATTTATTTATCTTCTTCATAAATATATTTTAGTAATTTAAAATTCTTAGATATCCTACCAAATCATTTTCT